ATATATATATATATATTTTTATCAACATCCATTACTTTAGCACCTTATATCAACATTATCATTTATTTTCCTACCATATTGAAAATCGCTCAACTTGTCAATCAACTAACATGTCATATCCATTCAATACATTAAGAGAGAAAGGAAGAAAATGAATATATACTTGTACTTAATAGAAAAGACTCATCATCTTTACAATATATGGAAATAGGGAGGCACATAAGGAAACACATACATATCTTTTTACTCACAAACATGAAGAACATATATATTAAAATCACAAGAATGATCAACAATAAAACTTAGTTGGTCCAAAACAACAACATTAAAGGCAACAATATCCCTACTTAAGGTTCTTCACATCAATCTAAAGAAAAACATGCAGTGATCAATTTATTATAACAAGTAGTCAACAAGGTGCGAAGTTTGGAAGCATTCATCATTCTTAACTTAAAAAGAAAAAAAATCAAGCTACTCCTAGGTCATGTAAAAAACAAATGAGTTTTTTAGTTACGAAACACATATATCATTAGACTTACTAGGTGGATTAGAAGAAAAAGGTTAAAGGATAAATATCCTTGATTACGGTTTTGGCTTGCTTAAGTCTCATACATTGAAATGCACAAAGTATTGAGGTTGTTAGTCTTAATAAATTATTGCAAAGCAACTAGAATATTTTCCAAAAAAAACAAACAAAATTTATTTAAATTATACCAACTTTTTCACAAAATACACCTAGGAAATGGAAAAGATTTATAAAATACTGGTCAGATGGAAAACTTGCTTTGATACCACTAAATTTGACATTTTTCAACCTATATCCATTTTATATAATAGCAAATAAACGACAAATAAATGTGACTAAGTTTTTTCTCATGGTAAAAGGATTCACTCTTTGTAACTTGACAAAATAAAATGTTTATAAGAGAAATATAAGTTATGAAATAAAGGTAACACTTTAGGCATCAAACAACCTTTATAAGAAGCTTCACAAATTATAATGTAAACCAATATAAAATCTATGATCCAATTTCAAAAACTTATGTTTCATAATTTTAGAACTCAGTTTGTCAATTTAGAATTGATTCTTCTTGTATACAAATTACGATAATGTATATTATACTGCAAATCATTCGTTTAGAGGTAGAAAGGATTCCCTTTAAGTAAGAAATCAAGTTTTTGATCGGATTTTAATCAAATGGGGGATCCCTTAACTATAAAGGGGTTCAAGGAACGAATCGCACTTTTACCTCTTTGTAACTTGACAAAATAAAATGTTTATAAGAGAAATATGTTATGAAATAAAGGTAACACTTTAGGCATCAAACAACCTTTATAAGAAGCTTCACAAATTATAATGTAAACCAATATAAAATCTATGAGAAAAATATGTTCATGCTAAAACTCAATGTAACTAAAAACTTGCTCCCGATGTCACAACCTATCAAAGCAACGTCACAAAAGAAATTATGAAGTCTATTCTTCATCACTCACATGCTCTTCCTTCTAAACAAAACCATGCTCACCTATATGGCAATTAGCCAAATGACAACAGAAAGCAACAAAAGAAAAGATGAGTGAGAATACATCTTGTTGAATCTTGCCTTAATGCATGTTTTAACAAAGATATACTATTAATTTCAAGCTTTAACCATGAAGAGTTTTCATGTGGACTACTAATAGATTTGTTCAAAGTGTTTCAGATTTATTTTGGTTAGTACTCAAGAGCTTAAAAAGTATTTCACCTCAAAAGCACCAACAAAAAGCAACTAAATTGCTTGAGTTGACATTTAAAACCATGGTCTTAGATGTTCTATGATCATACAAAGACTACTGATCAAGGAGTTCAAGTTGAACATTTTCTCTCAGGAAAGATGCCTTAAAGACTTAGTTCAACAAGTCCAATTCTTTGAACCTTTCATTAGGAAGCTTCAATTCAAGCTCAAATTCTCAAAAGATTGGTACTAAAGACTCTTCTCAAAAGGTTGCTTAGAAGGATGTTTAGAAGGAAGCTTTAAAAGATAACTACTTCTGAGGAATTTATTGACAACACTAATAAAATTACAAGTTGATGTCAACACCGCTTAAAAACTAGGCTACCCATAACAAATATATCCCATAGGCTATAAAAGGAAGAATAAGGTTACATATTTGAAACAAGCAAGATTAAAGAGAGTAATCAAAATACAAGCTTCCATAGTTGTAATTCTTGCTTCATACTTTGTTTTTAAAGATCTCCACTTCTGCATTTGTAATTATTCTTGTAATAGAAAAATGAAGTGTGAATCTTCCTTAGTGGAAGCTCTCTTTAGAGAATCTATTGTAACCATAGCTAAGTGCTAGGATACACAAACCATGTTTTTATAAAGAACCTTCCTTACCTAGATCTAGTGTTTAGAGGTGTAGGAATGAATGAAAAGGAGTCAACCAATTGGTTGTGAAACCTCATAGCAGGTAGTTGTGAGTGTTGGTATCTTAACAAGTTGTTGAAGGAGAAATCTTAGTAGGTGACTAAGTGTAAAACACTAATAACATGTGATTCTATAGTGTGGATCATGTATCAACATGTGGCTAGTGTTGTAACCTGAACAATAG